GAAAATAGGTGTCTGTTTTTCATGTATACAGCATTCAGATAATTAGTGTAACGAATGGTTGATTGCTGTAACCACGTGCCTTAAGAAGATATGAATGATTTTATTTACACAATGTACATCCGATTTACCATGTAATATCAGCAGTGTGGATCGATGTGCCATGCAGTACATACGCGGTCGTTGGTTCAGTCACTCCCGTTATCAAGCTCTTAATCCCGCAGTTGCTGACAATTTGATATTACACTTTTACAGAAGTATTATGCGTCCACTAATCATCAGAAGGGCCAAATACGCATTAATTGAGTCTAAGAAGCTTACTGTGATCGAACACTTAACGCAGCCCTGGGGAATTTAATCAACATCGAGCCGTTTGTCTTTTTTACCCGTCACTGTGGCTGTTGGTTTATACTAATTTTTATTACTAGAAAAAACCATTATTCTTTCAATCTAAGGGTTTCTTTTGTTGAGATACTCCTTCCAAATATTAATTTTTGGGCATCGATCTTGATGATGTAACAGGTGCTTGTGCGCAGTTTTTTAAAAGCAATTTCCCATTTCTGGATATTGTTTGCGTAGGATATCATTTTTATGAACATTTACCTTCAAGTAAAGGTTATAATTTTCATGCAAAAGTCTAATCTATACCCGTGAACTCCGGGTAGCCGAGATTTTCATCAAGTCCGCTTTCTGAATCACAATAATTCACGCTGTGGCTTTTAAATTGAAAAGTTGCGATTGATCATTTCCCACTTCTTTTGAAAGCTTCGGAAATATATAAGCGAAGAACTAGATGGGCCCATCAGGAATAAATTGCCACTGCATTGTTCTATACTTGGCCAAATCAGTTTGCGGTGGTTTGGTGATAGGATTGGTGATAGGATATCTCCCAAACTGGATCAAACTCTTGCATAAACAGAAAGGTCAGAGCCAGATGAGAACGAAGCTGACATTAGGGTTCGACTGTTTTGTGATTTAAATTCTGTTTGGAGGCTTGAATGGGAAAAGAAGAGATAGTAAACCACTAAATTTTTGAGAACTGGAGAAGAAGCGTCAGTGTTAGGTATAGAAGCCTTTGTGACAGGAGACAAAAAGTTTGGAATAAAAGGTCGACATCTTTAACTTCGACACATGATCAAACATGTTTTTTGTTGGCTGAGCTAACAGTATGAGGTTGATAAAAAACTCATCTATTCGGCTAACCCATCGACCCGTTTCGTCTTCGCCAGAGCCGGTAATTCGAATTGTAGCCGAAGGTTGTTGCTCGTCGTTGTGCCCCTCGAATAAGACCATAGGCGAAAGAGATCGTTGACTCGAGCGGGTCTACCGCAGAAGATTCGACTTGAATGAAACGAACACAGAACTAAACGAGGACCAATGATTCGAACCACCTGCCCCGAATGAAATGAAAAGTGTCAGAACATTAGCAGGCCAAGAAAAATTCTCTCATCGACTTCGTGCTGTTGGCTCAATCAGCAGGAAATATGATCGACAATGTTTGATATCGTGGACATGAAAAGGGAGATGTAGCTTTTTCCGGTTCACATATTATCGATTCCGTTCTTAGTCTCATCATCGCTCCACTGATCTCAGTGAAAGTCTGATCAACATGGTTTGTTTCTAATCGCTCAATTGTCGTTCTGCGCATTAGATTCCGTTCGGTTTTACATGAGCATCTTTTAGGGAGTAGAAGTTCTCTGCTCTTCTTTTCACAATATTAGGATGTTGCACCTGTTCAGTAGACACTTTATTAAGTCGACTTCACAGAGTCTTTTCTTTTTATTGTGCGGACCCAGTACTTCCAAGACTCAATTCGTCTTCGTCCTGAACGTCGTAGAATACTGGTTGAACGAGAATCCTTGCAATTTCGAGAATAGCCTGGCTGTAGCGTTCCATAGGCGTTGTTGTTGGCTGCCGAAGAATGTTAGAGGCGGGGGAGGTAGAGCTCGGCTTCAAGCGCGCCGCGACGAGCATCACAACCACTCGGTGCCACGGCGCCATTTCGGTACAAAAACGTTAGCCGAGAACAAATGAAATAGCGATGCCTTTTGCAGTATACAAGATTTCTAGGACGAAAATCACACCAAAAGAGCCCTGAGCTAATCAGGAACTGCCGAAGTGGCCGATGTGACATTATATAGGTGTCGTAGTGACCACACGGCAAAACACACGGCTTCATGCACCGCCACAAAACAGAAAGTGGGCGTCCTTGTTAAGAATTTCAAAAACTGATGATCATCACCAAACGCCTTCTCCATTACAGCTCACAATCCTATCGATAAGAATGTGAATGAAGCTCTCGGCGTGGTCCAGTCCCTGAAGGAAGAGCTATAAATGACATCATAAAGCATCGTTAGAGGTGATTTCAGCGCATACGTGGCGACAATGACTCGCGGTGGCCTACCGATTTATCAAGCTAATGACGCTGTTCTCCCAGACAATTCTTGTGCCATGTCGCCAACCCCGGGAGGTATAAGGCCTAGTGGGTCTTGAGCTCAGGGTCGAACCATCGACATCGTGTGCGCCGCAGGACACCTCCCCCCCCCCACCACTGCGCCGCATGCCTTAGTTGAGAACCAATATGCGCTTCGATACGAGGCACCCGCCGAGCGTAAGCCCGAGGTCAGCTCAGAATTAGGCGTCGTTTCCAGAAGTCCGTAGTAAACATAGAATTAGGCGTCACGTTCAGTACGGTAATCTCAGAGGAGGTCAGTTGCGGCCGTTTTGCGCCAGAGGCAGGTTGGTGGCTTCACAGCTCTGCCTCTGTTATTTTTTTCAAAGCTCGGTTTAGTAGAGTCGATTTTTTTAGTATTCAATGTTTATTGTGTCATTAATTACTCATATTTGTACTAATATCAATTCCTTGATTCTTTTTATCAGTGTAATTCGATTTTATCAAGAATATTGGGTTAACAGGAAATTTTCCCGGAGTTTTTCGGTTTTCTTCATTACTTTTCACGCAATTAAGTTTTCTTTTACTATGATTCAGAGCAGCTTCTCGCGTCTATTGTGGTATAAAACACTTATGCGTTTGGGTTCTTTGTGCCTCTGAGGGAACAAATAAAAAAGCGATCTCATTTGATGGAGAGCAACTTTTCATAAAAGTGTTACAAACCTTTTGAAAGCTGAGACTTCAGGCTGCAGCCATACGTCGCTGGTTTCCAAGGAAGCCTTTTTCTCGTTGCTACAGGAGGAGATTTGTTGTGCTGAAGACGCGTATATTTCTCGCCAGATGGAGCTCTTTTCCTGGACTATTAGTAATCATTTGATAGCGTAGTCGTTTCTGATTCCAACGCTGTGCTTATATCCTGAAAAGATCGTTTCTCTGCAACGCAGCACGTAAAGCAAGTTGAATTCGCATATGCGACCAGGTTTTGGAAAAACAGCGACGTGGGGCCGTAGCCTGAAGTCCTAGCTTTCGAATGATTACCAATGCTCCTATGTAGAGTTCCTCTTCGGCGAATGAGATTGGTTTTTCATTTGCCTCTCATGACCATAAAGTGCCTATATTTGTTTTGAAACGAAATTGTCTCAAGAGCAGAAACGATTTTTGATGCGACACGAGTTTCGTCGCGTGCCAAAGCAGCACTTGACCCAAACAATACTCGTGTCGCATCAACAGTCGTTTTTTGCTCTCAGAACAACCCTATCTTAAAGCGATTGTAAAAGTTTTTTACATCAAAATAATCGCCAGATACTGCTCTAAACGATAGTAAAAGCAGAAACCTAAATGCATGAAATAATCAACTAATATGAAAAAGTCCAGAAAATCTGTTTCCCACCGAATTGATGAAGACGTACTCAGTAAGAGATCCGCAGTATAAAAAGTGTGATTTTAAACCAGTCATTCGGAGTGCATGGTGGCTCAATGGTTGGAGGTACTTTGCGTCGCACACAAAGTCGACGGTTTGATCTCGCGCTCATGGCTCACTTAGTCGTCCATTCTTCCAGGGTCGCTAATTTGGTATCGCACTGGTCTCAGACGTGTCTGAAAAGATAAGCAGCACTGACTCGGTGCAGCCTGAGGCCACCGCGAGTCATTATAAAGGTCAGATATGCATTCAATCACCTCAAACGAAGTGAAAATTGAGGGCGAATGCATGGCGCATCCCTTAGGGATTGATCAACGCCGAAAGCTTTTTTATTCTCTATTACACTCGACTGTTGAATCATTTTTGCGTTCGGGAAATTCTATAAAAATAACCACAGGAAGCTGCTCTAAAAGATGGTGAAAAGAATAAAGCCCTCGGCTTTGGCCAGTCCCTGAGAAATGCGCCATAAATTCGTCTTTAACTGCGTTTGAGGTTATTGAATGCATATCTGGCCTTCACAGTTACTCGTGGTGGCTTCCTCCGTATCGAGTCAGTGCTGCTTATCCTTCCAGACAAGTCTGAGATTAGTCGGGAACCATTTATCGACCCTGGAGAGATGGATGGCTTGTTGAGTCATGAGCCTGAAATCGAACCATCGGCGCTGTGTGCGACGTAGAACCCCTCTTAGCACTGATCCACATGCGCTCTTGTCAGGAATTAAGGTGCTGGTCCGACTCCCTATCCCTAAAGTTCCATCCAATCACCGGATAATGGCATCAGATTAGTTTTCTTCTAGAGTGCAAGGACATTTGAATCGACCCGTTCTTGCTCTTGAAATAAACCTCTGGAATGATGAATCAAGAAAACGAATGGAATGCTAGAAGTACTGACATCCGCATAGAAAAAAAATGTGGTAGACGCTGGCTAAAATAGTCGAAAACGATGGTAAAACAAGAACTTAAACGCATGAAGAATAGTGCATGAAAATGAAAAATGCTGGGAAATTTCTTGCTAACTCAAGAGAAAAGTGAAATTTCTTCTTTTTTTTTTCAAGAAAGATAAGGAGGATAAGTCTGATCAGGAGTTGACTGATTGACTTTCACGAAATCTCACCATGTAGAAGATATAGAAAATATACTTTGAAAATGTGCAAAACTTTGAACTCCAAGTGGGAACGGGCCCACGCACTTCACCTTTTTGATGGTGTAGTGGTAGCACGCTCATCTCCAAACGGTGAAAGGCGGGTTCGATTCCCGCCTGAGGTCTGAAGTTTTGCTGATTATCAAACATTTTTGGATGTACACTTAGATCATAATGCCACACTAAAAAGCGGTTGATTAAAGAATTCTTGTTGATTTCGCAAAAGATCGATCTTAGGGACTGATCTTTCATTTAAAACTTCGACGAGTTTTCTCTTCTTCTTGTTCTTCATGAAAAGCGATGGGTGACGTTTCTGGCAACTTCCTCTTCTTCAGGACTTGACCTCACTTCTGCGGTCACCAACTTCCCAGCTGTGAATTATCCTGTAAACAAGCTAGCTGAATATGTGGAACTTGATCTTATTTTCCTTGCTACACTGCAGGGAAGCGCTCTTTCCAGAAAATAAGCACAGCATCATAACCTTTGAATACTAGGCTATCGAAAGATCACTGACAGTCTGGAGAAAAAGCTCTGTTTTGCGAGAAAAATGCGTTTGTGAAACGCGCAGGTTTTCATTCTGTAATAGCGTCAAAAAAGATCTTTTCGAAATCATTCTACGTGGGGCTGTAGCCAGAAATCTATGCTTTTGAATGATTACTAACAATCCCATGAAAAGTTACTGTCCAGCGAATGAGATCGGCTCTTCATTTGTCGCCTTATTATGGACATACACCGTATATGAACGTGTAAAGAAATCTTAGAGTGTTGGAGTTAGTGAAAATAAAATCGTATACCACATGTGAATCGCGCTGCGCATTGAATCAATCGCGTGACTGATACAAAACCACCACGACAAGATTTGAGCGCCGAGTGCGGAACCTCGTCTTCTTTTGGCTGCTACAGCGTGATAAGAAGTCCTTTTCAAAAACCAAGGACACCATCGAGATCGCCGAGGCTTGAGGTATCGAATGATTACCAAATTTCTCGCGAAAATGCTTTATTTAGCGGTAAATGCCCAAGCATGGAATATATACTATTTGTACTCTTATAATTCACTAAAAAGGTCCTTTAGGAAATGAAATATAGCATTGAAATTTTCGACATTTAATCATTAAAACTACCACCAGAATTTCCACAAAGAAATCGAAAGCGCATATTTCTTATAGATTGAAAATAAGTCCGAATAGCTGGAAGTGCCGTAATCTTTTTCAAAGTAGTGGTCTACAGGCTTATACGGATAGCATTACATCAAAATAAATGCTCCGAGCTTGAGGAAGGAGAGGCTCCGTAAGCGTCAGTTCTCAACATTGAAGAAGAAGATGGATTGACCTCGCGGAAGCTCACTGGAAAAGGACAGTTTCTGATTAACGCTTTCAGGACCACCTTTGATAGGTAGGCGGCGTTGCGCCGTCGCTTGTGCGGCAGTCACAAGCAGGCAGCATCTGCATGTCTGGCTGTCTGCTTGCCTTCTCACGAGACGCGACGCCACCACTACAGTATCTGTGAGATTTGACGTTGCGCTACTTGGTACGAAAAGTACCACGTGGGCCTCAAGGGTTAGGAGTTTCGGACAGCAGGACACCTCTAACCACTGCACCACACGCGCGAGCTAACAGCGACTACGATCTCTATGCGACGCATCCGTCGAGGACACGCGTGTGGTAAGCTCAAAATTAGGTGTCCTTCGTAGAACTCCGTAATAGACACGGAATTAGGCGGCATTACTTACGGTTATCTCACGCAAAATAACCATGATACTTTTTATCCATCATTTGATTTTTTCTAGAATAATCGGTTGACAAGAAATTTACCGAGCTATTCGTTTTTGTTAACTTTTCTGATGCTTGTCCATTATGAGGCAGCAAATGAAAAGCCGATTTTTAGTAGTCATTTGAAAGCTTGGCTCTCTGGATAAAGCCCCGCTTGGTCGATTTTCGCAATGACTTTTTTTAACGCTGTAAAATCCAAAATAAAATCATGTTTCGCACAACCACGTGTTCTTTTCTCATATCGCTTATATTTCGCTGAACTAAACTCTCTTCTTAGAGTACCAATACTCTTCCCAGAGCACAAGTTTCGTAGAACTCAAAAATATGTTTGCTTTCTGAAAAAGCTCTTTTGGCAGCGCTATAGGAGAAGGAAAAGATTTGTGCTTTGAACCTCGCTCGACAAGCTCTTCCTTTAGACTGATGATGATTATTCGGTAGCGTAAGTTCCAATGATTCCAATGTTGGGCTTATTTTGTGGACGTATTGTTAGCAGGGAAGACAGAATGGAGTTTTACATTTTCGGCGAACAAGTTTATCCGTTAGTGTGACATGTAACTTGTTATACAATCTGGGATTTTTTTCCTCCACCTTGAATAAAACTCCTAATAAAACGATCCAATCAGATACTACAAAATTCCTCTGCACGCTGATATGCTTTTATGGCTTCCAGGTAATGATACCCGCGATTTTAAAAAACGCGAGCGGCGGTATCAGACATAATTTTTATACTGGATGCTACAGCCTTGTAAAAGGGTTTTTTTCGAAAAAACGGCGGTATAGGACTGTAGCGAGATATAGGCTTTCGAGTGATTACAATACTCCTCTAAAAAATTCCTGTAGAGCGAATGAGATCGGTTTATAGATTTATCGTTTTCTAACATATAAGTACTTTACAGAGCTATTCATATATTGATCCAGCCTCAATTGCTGAAAGAGAAAAGACTGAGGGCCTAGATTGATGCTCATCCACTGACGGTCGCTTGCGAAGCTCGAGGTAGCGATGGTATGGTTACAGTACTATTTTCTTGAAATGTACCTAAAAAGAAAGAAAGTATTGCATTCAATGGGTAGAAATAACAGAGGTTGTACACATTAGTGATAATGCATCAGATGTTCCAAAAAAAATACAGTAAAAAATAAGGAATAAATCCTACGGCATTAATCAATCTCTGAGGGATGCGTTGTGCATTCGACCTCATCAAACATCACGAATGAGGCTCGTTATACACCTGACCTCTAGAATGGCTTGTGATGGCCTAACGATGTATCAGGTCAGTGTAGTAATCCTCTCAGACAAGTTTGGTGGCAATTTGCCCTGACCCCGAAGAAAGACGAAGTTCGATGAGCCATGAGCACAGGATCAAACCAACGACCACGTGTGAGTTGTGGGCACCTCTAACCACGATCACACATGCCAAGAAAAAGTCTCGAGAGGTAAACAAATTTGGTGGATGGCCTTTGTTCTTTGTTCAAAGAAAGACGAACCACTGACCACTCAAGGTTTTTCACCCTTTCCTTCTTTTTTTCTCTTCATCTGAATTCGTAAAAATGATAACTAAGAAACTCGGAAACAAGGTAAACGATACATTCTTGTCGATATGTATGTCGACTGTCAGTCTGACTAGGTTCGATAGCGATATGTGCTTGACAGGCCAAATCGTTCAAGGCTGATTGCTGACAGATCGATAACTTGTATCACAGAAATAGTGACAGCAGAGCAGCACCATCGGTGCTGCAGCTCGGAAAAAGTGAATCACTAATTCAACTCCTGGGCTCGCAAGTTCTGTATATCGCTCAGTCAATATAATTGTATTTATAGCTGTGACATCATACCAGTGCTACGATGGCTTTCAAATAAGATATTCTTGCCGATTACTTATATCCAATTGCTGTCTGTGTGACCGCGGTTCGGTAGCGACGCGTAATTATCATGTCAGTAACGGTCAGTTGCTGATAGATCGATACCTTGTAACATAAAGAGAGTAGTAAAGCACAACAGGAGCTCCACATCGTAGTGATTAGAGCGGGTCATCATTTAGGTTAAGACAAGGGTTCAGATCCTGCCCAAGGTTCATAGTTTCACATATAACTCACTGAACGTAGTACCGGATTATCAACACTGTCAACCGACTATATTGAGATCCCGCTAAAAATTAATACATCCTAACAGTACATTTTAGCCTTTCATGAAATCTGTCATGGCACTTATAAAATGCTACTGCACTTGTTTCGGCATTTCTGATCAGCAGCACAGTGCCTTATAGTCAGTTAGTTTCATGGGGTTATACCCCTTATGTAGAGCAATCGACGCCGAACTACTTACACCCAACTATATATATATACTTACCGTCTCGAACACGGATACATATCCCCGACGTTTATACCGGATACGAGTCCAGGACCTCCGACCAGACCGCAAGAAATATTCGATATGATGTTCCCATAGAATTCGGCATTAGCATAATATCGAACTGTTGAGGTCTGGCTACCTAGAGAGAGAAAAGACACTAAATAAAATCAATGGGTAAGTGGCGCATTGGTTAATATCATCAACAACAGGGTTAATGAAACACACACATATCGACTCTTGAGAATCAATATCTGAACAGATTCTACTACTTATCAAAACTAAGACACTCATGCCAGGCTATTTCAAGTTCTTATCTATACATGTTTACAACATGAATCCCAATACAATCGTAAACAATATAAAGGTGAGATCCATTGCGATGTCTTAGGTACGCTCGCAAGCCTAAACAATTGGATTTTAGATAAGAAATCCACGTAAATATATAAACTAGCAACAGAAGCGAAAGCTAGTAATATAGCGGAAAGCAGGAGACGAACAGCTGTAAGACTAAGGATGTGTAAGCTCTGAAAACGGACTTTTTTGTGGGAAGGAGGAGAGGAGTAGGAGGAAGAGTAGAGTAGTATGACTAGGGAGAGGGGAAAGGGGAGTGGGCTAAGAATATTTTTGTTGGGAATCAATATTCAAGGAAGTCCTTGAACAAACCTTAGTAGCTTGATATAGTTACGGTTTGAGAAGAGAAGCAAAATCAAAAACAGAAACCTACTAGCTGCATGGATGCATTATCCACAATCATCGAGTCGAACTTTACCTCAGGATATTCCTTCTCGGCGATTTCCTGGGACACCTGTAATGTTAGTATCACTAATCTGGATAATATACAATCTTCCAAGATAAAGTAAGTACCCTCAGGAACAAGCCGTCTCCCAGTTTTTGAATATTTGCTTTGTGAACAGCAGTGATATTCTTGCGACCGTATTTTTTCGCATACTGGAACGCAAAGCGCGAAATCCGTTCAATTTTCTTCCGAGTCACACTCTAAACGAAA